CATAGACATATTAACTAATGGACTGCGCGTTAGACAAAATTTACTCAGACAACATCTGATAAGCAAAAAGGGGTATTTTGGAAGAAACAATGAATGATTATTTATTGTTCCAAGATTTATGATTACTGATTAGTTAATTTTTGGCGGTAGCAGTCCGCTGATAACAAAAGTTGTAAAGTTGAAAATCTATTCTGTGCTTTTTATATTATATTATTTAAATATTTTATAACATACGCAATCATGGTGAAAACTTGTTCAATTCCCTTGTGTCCTAGCATGGCCTCTAAAGAACTTGAAATAAAGTTACATAAGTAAAATATATACTATTATAACTACATTAATTGAGCTAGCTTCATTATAAATATACCTGGTGATCCACTCAATAACACTCATTACACTCCATAAGATCAAATTTGAACAAAATAAGATATTAAACAAAGAAGGTACTGTACAGCAGAGTGTCTCCCACTTACCCACCTTTTTTAATATTGAAATGAAAGGATCACCAGGTAGTATAGGTATAATATCATAGACCTATATACTAATAGATCTATGAGGTATATGATGTACAGTGTACACTCTGTTGGGTGAATTACTTTTGTAAAGCAATAAAACTACTTTACTCGCTTCATTAAATAATTTTATCCAAATTACAATCGCGTTACCCGACATTATTTTTATCACGTTATACTTTACTTTCACTTTTTCATACAAAAAGTAGAACATTATAAATAATGTTACTTTAAAAAAAAAAAATAATAATTACAAAATCAGTCCATAAAAATTAATAAGTAGTATTGTAAATGACAAATAAATGTAAATAACACTTAACTCCATTGAAATTACTTTTAAAAAATATACTGGCTGTACAGCATATTTATAGGCTGAATAGTTTTAATGTTAATTGAAATTTTATAGATTTCCTTCGTCGGAAAAAACCAAAAATATATGGTTAACTTCAATACGCAGAAGTTATCCAACATTTAAAGTTTATGACCATAGTGTCATTTGTAGCAAACATTTTAATAGTGCAGACTATATAGTAAGTTCTCGTTCAAAATCCCGGTCACTAAAAAAGGATTCTATACCATCAGTTTTCTACTCAGAAAATACTGTATATGTTTTTAATGACAGTAAGTTAGTAAACAAATGTACAAATCATCCATCATTATTCAACTTTTATTATTGTTATTAGTTGAGACAAGTAATTCAGATTTGGATAATGGGGAAATTTTACTTGGAGCAAGTCAGTTGAATGGTACAATTTAATAATTCATTTAATTTTACAAGATGTACCTAATATTTAATTTTTCTTAATTTTTTACATCATAGTTTCTCCACAATTGTATACTGCTGACAATAAAGATAATGGGGAAATTTTACTTGGAGCAAGTCAGTTGAATGGTACATTCTAATAATTCATTTAATTTTACAAGATGTACCTAATATTTAATTTTTCTTAATTTTTTTCATCATAGTTTCTCCACAATTGTATACTGCTGATAACATGGTGACGCCAAAATGTATAAGACGTACTGGACAATCACCAGTTAGTATAAGGTTAGTAAATTATTATTAATTATTTATAAAGTATAAACTATATGAAATAATTGTTATGTAATCTGTAAATCTTTATTTATTTAATTTATTTACATTAGGAAAAGAAAAAGCTTGTTTGGAGATTTTCAAGCGAATGATTTAGACACACCGAGAAAAAGAAAAAGGTACTGGAAAGTTTCTCAACAAACGGTGGTAAAGTACAGAAAACAGGTCAAAATTTTGAATAATAAAAATCATTGGTTAAGAAAACGTGTAAAAAATTTAACCCAATTGGTTGATCATCTCAAAAATGAACAAAAAATATCTGATGGTTGTTATTCAATTTTAAAAGTAATTATTTATCAAGAAGACACTACCCATGCATTTGTTGTCTCCGTTTTACACACGCACGACATAGGAAATTTCCGTTCACTAGTTTCAATTGTGTGTTGTTGGTTTTAATATTAGAGTGAACTGACCTATTGTGTATGTGAAATATCAAAAATTAAAATTAATTTATAAATTTGCTATGTCGTAAGTGTGTAAGATGGAGACAACAAATGCATGGGTAGCGTCCTCTTAAAAGTTTTTTTAAATAATCGGTTGTGGAATTATTGTTATTTAGATTTGTGTGTAACCTTTGTGATTTTTATAACATATTACTATATTAATGTAATGTCTTTACTACTTATACTTATTATGTAGGTTAGAATTTGCAATGTATAAAAATAAACAATATATAAATCGGTATTTTAACACTTTCATTTACATACATTATATGTTTTCTTTGTTTTTTGTGTAACCAAATAACCTTTGTGAATTTTATAAAAAAATATTAGTGTAATATCTTACATTGACAATAGACATATTAACAGTACCTACTAACTAATGTTAATAGTTCTATGATAACTTAAATGTTTTAATAGGTACAACTTTTAGCTTGTTTGTGAATATTTAAACTAGGTACCTATTGATTTGTACATGCTAATGACTTCTTTGGTGAAACCATAATAATAAAAACAAAATTAAAGGATAAATTAATTAGATATGATGTGATTTTTAACTGTCTTTAATTAATTTTTTAGGACAATTTATCCACTGTGCCAAGACAAATTGTTTTAAAACAGTTAAATGGTACTTCTGAAAAAAAAATATCTCCAGAACTAAGAGCTTTTGCTTCAACTTTGAATTTTTATTCTTCTTCCGCTTACAATTATGTTAGAAAAGTTTTTAATAAATCCCTGCCCCATCCATCTACAATACGTAAATGGTACGCCGTTATTAATGGATCCCCGGGCTTTACTACAGAATCATTAAACGCTTTACATAATAAAGTGTCTGAAATGAAGTTGAAAAACAAACAATTAATTTGCGGAATGATGATGGATGAGGTCAGTATAAAACAGGATGTACATTTTAATGGAAAATGAAATCAAGGATATGTGAATTATGGCACTGGTCTAAACGAAGATACAGATTCACTCCCATTAGCCAAAGAAGCCCTTGTCCTAATGCTTGTGGCTTTAAATTCCAATTGGAAAATCCCTATTGGCTATTTTCTAATCAATGGTATGTCCGGAGAAGAAAAAGCTAATTTAGTTAGAACAAGCTTAAATATAATTCATGAGACAGGTGTTATTGTAAAAAGCCTTACATTTGATGGTGCTGGTTCCAATATATCAATGGCTACTTCATTAGGAAGTAAACTACATCCACCTAATGTACAAACATATTTTTTGCATCCAATCACCAAGAGTAAGATTTTCATTTTTTTAGATCCATGTCATATGCTAAAACTATGTAGAAATACTCTTGGTGATTGGAAATCATTATACGATAAGAATGGACAAGAAATAAAATGGGAATTATTTGAAAAACTTGTAAAGCTCCAAGATGAAACTCAACTGCATTTAGCAACAAAAATAAGAGAAAGGCATATAAACTATTACAAAGAGAAGATGAAAGTTAGATTAGCAGCTCAAACATTAAGCGAGAGTGTATCTAAAGCGTTAATATATTGCTCCAACCAAAAAATTCAAGGCTTCCAAAATTCCAATGCAACATCAACATTTTGCCAACAAATTAATGATATTTTTGATTTACTTAATACCAGAAATTTCTTAGGTAAAACAGTTTACAAAAAACCTATCTATAAAAAGGATGAAGCATTTTTAAAATTGTTTATTACATCGGCTATTGATTACTTAGAATCTTTGCAAACAAGATTGTATAACAAACAAACAAAATCTTTTGACTTCATCCCTGTAATAAATTCTGGAAGAAAAACTGGGTTCAATGGGTTAATTGTGTGTTTGAAGAGTATTATAGGATTATTTGATGATGTGATTAAAACTGATCATATGGATTTTATATTATCATATAAAATCTCTCAAGACCACATAGAAATGTTTTTTTCTGCTATTCGATCTCGTGGTGGGTTCTGCAATAACCCCACGGCCAGTCAATTTGAATCAGCGTACAAAAGGTTACTGATACACACAGAAATTACTACATCTATCCAAGCTAACTGTATGTGTCTAGATGAGACTGAAATATTAACTGTGACTAGCAGTTCACTACGAATTGAATCTGATTCATTAGAATATTTTTGTATAGCTGTAATAGACATTGATGAAGAAGAAGATACATCAATGTTTCTACATTTAGAGCAATCACAATACACATCTTATTTAATGGATACAACACAATATATTAGTGGCTTTGTTGTTAGAAAAATAACAAAAATTATAAAATGTCAAGAATGTGCAGAGGTCATAAGTGAGTCAAGTAATACCCAAACACCATTGATTGATTTAAAAACTAGAGGCGGTTTAATAAGGCCCAATGATGATGTGACGGAACTGTGTCGTATAGGTGAAAATGTATTTCGGATCCATCAACATACTTTTCAATCAAATTCTAATAATGCAACAAAAACGTTTATTATTAAGGCATTTTCGCGGATTAATATAAACAAGTATTTTTTAAAATTATCAAACCATATTTATAATCAAAATCCGATAAATAATCATCTTATTCAAATAATAAAACTTATCTTTAAAACTTACTTTACTATTCGTATACATCATTTGAATAAAACAATTAGCCAACCCAAAGAAAGGATAAGGTCACATTTCACAAAACTCGTCCACTTCCAGCATCAGTAAAATGCATAGACCTATTAATTATATTATTAAATATTATTATATTATTAATTATTATATATTATTATATTATTAATTATTATATATTATTATATTATTAATTATTATATATTATTATATTATTAATTATTATATATTATATATTATTATATTATTAATTATTATATATTATTATATTATTAATTATTATATATTATTATATATTATAATTATTATATTATTATGTAATTATAGGTCTACGAATAGGTCTATGGTAAAATGTAACTTTTTTTACGCAGATCTACTTGTATGTATATTTTTTCTTTTTTAATATTTGTATTATTATTTATAATAATTTTATTTTGCATTTTTGTATAAGCAAATTTCAAATTGTTGAATGTGCAATGTGCATTTGAATACAGACACAATATAAAAAATACATGGAATAAACAGCAATATGTAATTTATTCTTCCACAATACCCCTTTTTGCTTATCAGATGTTGGCTGAGTGTTTCTCTAGATGGGGGGTGAGGAAGTAGCAGTCCATTAGTTAATATGTCTATGANAGAGTTTATAATTTTTAATAATTTTTTACAGTATACAATTTTAAATAGGTACAGTTTTATTAGTAAATAAGAATACGCTGTGGATATACACCCGACCATGGTCGGACTGATAATAGACACCCGACCATGGTCGGACTGATAATAGACACCCCCCGACCATGGTCGGACTGATAATAGACACCCGACCATGGTCGGACTGATAGTAGACACATGATAGCACTGATAGTATAGATTAAGATATTGCACATTTCAATAATTTTGAATAACATTGTGAATAATATTATAATAATTATTAATTACTGTTTTAACTACCAACGTCGAACCTCGTGACTTACCCACTTGAATCTGAATAACCTAAAAGTATGAGGTAATTATAATGTTATGTATGTAATTATATTATATCTATTGTAATTTATTAGGTTTTTTATCATATTCTATTCTTTAAAATCTGCATAGCATTTGTTGCAAAACCAATGCTTCCCGTGTTGGTTATCCTTGACACAATCTATATGATACCAAACCAAGCAACAGTCGCACAAAATAGATGGCCGTTCTTCTATTTCATGGTTGCACGTTGGGCATATCCAGATGGTGTTCTTTTTTTTTGTTTTCATTAATGAAATTACTGCTTTCCATGCTTCTTTAGAACAGTACGGCTTGATACTCCCCACATCAATCTCGTTCTCAACAATTCCATTAAATACATCGTCTGGATGTTGGACATCTCCTTCTTGGATAAGGTATTTTTCTTTTCTCACTTTCTTTACAACTGCCTTGTTGGTAAGCCATTCCATTACCAAGTTTTCCTTGGTCAAATAGTTAAGTAAATTGAAACGTACTGGCTTAGCTGGTTTTCGCTTGATCGGTAAACCTATTGTGGTTTTTGTTGCACCTTTAGGTCTACCACAACATTTAATTTTCGTCGGTACTTTAATATCTTTGATGGCAATTGTAACATTGTCAGTTTGAATTTTGTCACTTGTTGACTGACTTGTTCCAACATTAAATTGACATTCATCGGATTGGCCAATTGCTGTGGAAACTACGCTTGTTGACGGTATGTTGTCACTATCTAATATCATTTTTCCTAAATTATAAATGCCTAGTTTAATAATCTTGTAATTAATATTTTTTTATATAGTTACCTGACTGATCATTTTCAATATAAAATTCTTCAGGTTGATCAATATCCTCACAAACTCGGCTTGTTGACGGCATGTTGGACAATTTAACAATATCAATCTCTTCATTTTTGCTCCACAATCTTATAATATTTTCCAATTGATCCATTCTTCGTTCATAAGTATGTTGTGAAGATATTGATAGAAGTTCGGCCAATTTAGACAATTTTATAGATGACTTTTGAAATTTTTCATTGGCTGATAATAGTCTTTTTGTATTTTTTGGTTGTATGTCAACCGAAATAGGAGTTTCACCCTCACACAGTATCGGTGGTTCTTTAAGTATCGTTTGTGACTTATAATAATAGTTGCGTGTCCATCTTTTGTCACATAGTTTCTCATCATACAAACAATCATTAGTTGATCTCCGTTTGTTAAAAATATGGATACATGGCAGTTTCATCGAATTAAAAAATCCACAAGAGCATACAGTTACCGTAGTAGAAGATAGGACATTACTATTGTCTGTGCTTGAAAAACTTTGTTTTAAATAATTAAAAGCATATGGCGTCAAAAGCTTATAATATTTATATTCGACAATGTTTTCAAACTGTTTGGTTGGACGTTTTTGTATGATAGCAATTGTCTTGCTATCCCTCTCCGATCGAACACACTTTAGAACTACAAACAACTGTTTAAAGAAATCCGAAAGGTTGGAAAAGGTTGGTATTACAGATTTTAATTTAGAATTAAAACTTTCTAGCCTGTTATTAGTTGCATTTAAAAAGTTTCCACTGTTAAATGCCAATCCAGTAACCCATTCTTCACGGATATCATGCCAATTTTTAATAAAATAATTTTTTAACCCATGCGGAGCTTCACTTAAAAAAATTGTAAACATTTCTTGGTAATCCTTTTCACTTTTGCAGTAACACAACTTTTCAATAATTGCTTTACTCTTATCCCTTTCTTCTGGAGTTATTCCTAACTTTTCGCAGGTGATTTCGCGATTGAACGTACGCAGCGAGTGGAATAAACAAATGACCAGTCTACATTGTGGGAATAATGATTTAATTACAGTACGCTCCTTCATATCTTTATCTGTGATAAAGACCCTTGTCATTGAACAGGCTGGGTTGCATTCTTTGAACTTGTTAAAAAACCATTCTAATGTCTCTCGCTGTTCATTGACCAACAATCCAAGCGCGGCAATCTCGCTTTGACCATTGCCATCCTCAATCAATAAAACATATAATGGAATTCTGATATCTAACAACTTGTACGTAGCATCAGCACAAACCATCTACATAGATATACATCAGGTACAGTTGTACCTATATTAATATTAGGTATATATAAAATTTTAATTTTATAGATAATCACCTCTGGGAACGCTTGAAACTCTTCCCTCATTCTTGAGTCCTGAATAAACATGCCCAAGAAATTCCCTTCATCATCTGTTAACAGTTCAACATTGCAGTGATACAGCTTTTTCACGTCTTCCACTGTTTCCTCAAAAGTTTTTACTCCTCGCTTTTTTATCTCTGGTAAAATAACGAGGTTTAACAAGATAAACTTTTTAATGTAATATATTTTGTGTTTCATATACCTGTATTGCGTATGTTGGATAAGTCCCTTAATGTTACCATTTTACCGGTTTCAGTGTGGATTTTGGACTGGATCAGCTTTTTATTTGCTTTCATGTCCATGAGTTCGAGTACTTCCGCTTTCATTTGAGGTGCCAAGCGCCGTTGATTTGGCAAACTGGAGAACAACAATGCAGAAGTCTCATGGTTATGCGTTTCCACCATTTGTGATATTTCCAACTTCATGCCATCGCTAGTAACTCTCACATATATATATGCTGGACAATTCTGTTTCATTGTGCTAGATAATAATATGAAATAACATAAATGTCCAAACCTAATGGTAATGAAGTAAACTGTTTGATAATACTTACGATGTGGATCGTACATCTTCACATCTTTTACTTTTCTTAAAAGTACCACCATGTATGCAGATAAATTTAATAAAATAATATTTTAAACTATCTGGAGTAAATTCAAGTTTCTTCGGGTATTTTCGACGAGCTACATTTAATGTGCGACAATCACTCGTAGAAAAATCATAAAAAAATGTTTTTTTATAATTTTCAAACTCACTTTGAAAGTCAGAGTACGACTCAAATAACTGACCAACCGCTAACATTTTGTTTGTTTAGTAATAATTATTATAAAATGAATAACAAAATAATGTTTCACCAAAAATAAGTCACTTTCGGTGCTATGGAATAAAACCAATGTTAGGGTGTGCTTATTGCTTATTGGGTTAAATATAAATATATATACAATTTATATTTCAGGTTTTCGATTCAAGATAAGATTGATCAAAAGTTACCTCTTATGATCTTATAGAAATTATCTTAATAGCTTTTATGATCTTATAGAAATTATCTTAATAGCATCAATGCGAGGATGTACTAAAGTAATGGGTTTTTACTCCAAGGTTACCTTAAATTACAAATTATACAAATTCAAATCGCCGCGCATTTGAGAACAATATGGTCGTGTGTCTACTATCAGTGCTATCATGTGTCTACTATCAGTCCGACCATGGTCGGGTGTCTATTATCAGTCCGACCATGGTCGGGTGTCTATTATCAGTCCGACCATGGTCGGGTGTATATCCACAGCGATTTACCTCAATCATTTCAACAGCTGCCTGGGCAA